ACACACACACACACACACACACACACACACACACACACATCCTTCCACCCTTCACCCAAAAATACCAACATTTTCTTTTTCTTTTCCAATCTTTGACGCCAAAGAGCCTGGCAGCTTGCAACTTCCCACATATTTGATCTGATAGCAGAAAACACAAATATCAGCTAAGATTTTAATCAAGGTTTTTGAAATCATCAACCGCCCACACAAACATATGTCATAATATTATCACGCCTTAGTGAATTCCCCCCTAATCGAACAGATTAATTTTTTCTTCCAACATCCCCTTGTGTGGAACTCTTGAATTTCTTTTAAGTGATATTGTCATAATAATGTCAGAGTGGGCGCTGCTTTGTTTGTGTTGGAAGAAAACACGGACACATTGACATTTAGAACAAAGACATCGTCCACTTCTACTAGGAGGTAGAGCGGAATAATGGAAGGAGGAATGAGAGGGATGGCAATAAAAAGAAACCGCATATAGGTCATGAATCAGGACAGGACACACGGAAAAGTCAATGGTCGTCATACAGTTAGGTTTGAAAACAATGAAGAGGCGTAGATGTTATATAGCCTTTTGGATAGTCTAATTACAGCCAAGAGAAAACATTTGTCTTTTTTGTATTATATGTAAATATTATGTTCTTCCTTCCCACTCTCTCTCCACCCGCACCCTACCCCTCCCTTTTTCTGTTAAAACAATGTATAGGTAGAGATCGAAGCGCTTGAGTATTGATAACAGCCAAGAGAAATCATTTGACGTTTTTGTAATATATTATGTTCTCGCTTCCCACTTTACCTCTTCTTCCTTGTTTTTTTTTTCTTTTAAAACTTTAAAACAATGTTTAGATAGAGATCAAAGAGCTTAGACATTGATTACAGCTATGAGAGAACGTCTTTTTCATTCTTTTACTTTGTTGTATAAATTTTCACCCCCGACTCTTCCCCTCCCTCCCTGAATAATGTAAAATAATGTACTGATGGAGATCTAGGACTTTGCACACTGTTTGCTTGCAGCTAGATCTAAAAGGAAACGTCTTTGTTTTTCTTGTACTTTGTTGTGATATAAATGTTCACCCCTTCCTCTTCCCCTTCCCCCTACCTCACTGAATCATCATCATCATCATCATCATCATCATCCAGTGCCAGATCTGCGACAGACATCGACGATCATGATTTTCCATTCATTCCTTTGCTCGGATGCTCTAAAAAAAAGCTACGTTACCCTGATCTTTCCCTGTTACCCATTTGTTCAGGTTCCCTAAGTATGTTGTTCTGGGCCTACCTCTGCCTCGCTTGCCCTCAATGAACAATGTAAAATAATGTATAGATGAAGATCTAGCATCTTGCAACCTTGTTTGGTTACAACTAAGAGAAAACGCCTTTTTTTCTTGTATTTTGTTGTCATAACATAAATGTTCACCACTTCCTCTCCCCCCCCCCCCCCCCCCCTGAACCTCTCACATACATACATACATACATACATACAGACATACATACAGACAGACAGACAGACAAAAATGTAAAAATGTAAAAATGTAAAAATGTAAAAATGTAAAATGTACAAATGTATAGCTGGAGATCTGGGACTTTGCACACTGTTTGCTTGCAGCAAGATCTAAAAGGAAACGCCTTGGTTTTTCTTGTACTTTGTTGTGATATAAATGTTCACTCCTCCCTCCTCCCCTTCTTCCTCCTTCTTCCTTCTTTTGTTGTTGTTGATAAAACTATGTTTTAGTGACGATCGTGGCACTTGCACATTGTTTTAGTTTTAGTAGTTTTAGTAAGAGTTTTACGGCACTTGCAACAGAATATTATGGCCATATATGTGCCGGAGATTAGAGGTGTACAAGAAGGTAACAAACAAAAAAAAGAACAAAGAAAGATAAGGACGATAGTAGTTTGATAGGAAAGAAGGAGCAAACCGCACCAGAGCACCCACCAACCACTCACGCACATTGTTTGGTTACAGTGAAGAATGATCGTTATTTTATTTTGGCAATATACGTTCACCCCTTCCTCTTTCCCTTCCTCCTCTTCCTTCCCTCTTTTCTTGTTAAACAACGTAATAAGTGGAGATCTACGCACTGAAACTTCGTCTGATTTCTGCAAAAAGGAAAACCTTTGTTTCAGTTCTTTGAAAAATTACACAACATTCCTCTCCACCCCA